GCAAGTGTCCGTAAGAAGGACTCCTGACACTCAGGGCCCTGGCTGACACCCACATCATCTCATGCCTGTGGCATATAAACACATGGTTTCTCTGTGCCCTCAGCAGAGAAAAAGAATAGATAAGACACATAGACTCTTCACTACCTCAGTCTACAAATAACCTTTGTCAATTTGGCCCACATGTCATTGGCCAGAACTTGCCACCTGGAACCACTTAACTGCAAGGGGAGGTGGAAAACACAAGCGAGCAGGTAGAATGTTTGGTGAGCACTACTCCCGGTGCCACAAACATTAATGAGGCTGAATTTTGTATTGAGTTTTCCTAGGAAATTTACAATTTATGGTTTTATGTGTGATTTTTGGCAAGAACTAGTCATGAGAAATGCATGTCAGTTACGCTCTTAATGAATTCTCAAGTGCATATACTTTGATTTTAATAATTTAAATGGAATTGAACTGACATACAACTTGATGTGACCTTAAGAGAACTATTTTGAGAATGTTTTCAAATAAATTCCCTTATTAAAAAAAACCACACAAAAACATTAGGAGGCCAAATTAAAACTGGTAATTTTATAATTCTAGTTTATAAAGGAATAGCTAGCATAACTTTTTTCCCTCCTCTTTTAGTGAATGTAACACATATAAAAACTGCAAAGAGCATTTATGTCTAATTTAATAAGTAATTATAAAGCAAATAGCTATGTAACTGCAACCAGGGGCCATGAATATTTTCACTTGTTGCAATTTGCATATTTCTTACACAAGGGCTTTCTTCAGTACTTTCCATTTTGTGGGTTTGCACTTTGCTTTACATGATGAAATAAGAGCAGTTTTGAGAAGAATAACTTTTACAGGCAATTTAGCAAAGTGGTTAAGTTTGCTGATTCTGGTGAAACGCTACTTCGGTTTGATTTTCATTTCTTCCACTTACTAGCTGTACGAGCTCAGACAAGTTGCTTAACCTCCATTGTGCCTCATCTGAAAAATTGGGAAACTACTACTACTTACCTTATGGGGTCACCGATGGGATTAAATGACCTGACATAAAGAAAAAGCTCCTAGAACATTGCCTGACAAACAGTAAGTATTCTTTAGTGATGATGATGATTATAAAAATGTATAATTGAAAATGATAATTTTATTTTATATGAAGGTTTTTATATAGAGATGCCTTTATTATCAATATAAAGAATTTTAGATAAATCTGTTAGTGTTACTCAGAAACACTAGAATGGAAGCAAACTGAAGCATAGAATGGAAAATACTGACAATGACAAAAAATAATCAAATATTGACATAGCTTTCTAAAGGTTAAAAGCACTGCGAAATTTTTCTTAAAATTTTATTCTTCAACACAAGAATTTTTCCTCATGAAACTAAAAGTCTAGATGTGTGAATAGGATCAAATATGCCAAATTCTTTTACTCTCCTAGACTATGATCTAAAGGAGTAATAGAATCAGAGAGTCAGCAGGGATTGGAACAGTGGCTTTCAAAAGCCTTTGTGGTCCACAGTAACAAATACATTTTATATCACGAGCCAGAACACCCATATGTCTACATATGTGTATTACATTTACACACATATGCCTGTACACACACAATGGAAATTAAAGTTCTGTGCCATGCAATTAAATGCAATGTATGCTAATATTTTCTCTTCTAGTCTGTCCTATTCTCTTTTTAATGTTTCTTTGTTTTGTTTTCTAATGTGCTTTTTGTGACTTTCTAAACTTATTTCTCAAGCCATGCATGGGCCACAACGTTGCAGTTTGAAGAAGAGTGAAACACTGGATTA